TGAATTTCCTATCATATGTTAATCAATTTTTATTTAGAAAACATGATTTTTGAGTTATGGAATCCTATATTTTGATACCAAACCATTATGATTAATAAAAGGATGATTTCTTGAAATAAAAATGGTGTTTTAACAACTAAAAGGGATCTTATGTGATGCATGACGGTAAGCTAGGGTGTTAACACTCGATGCTAGGCCGCTGATTGTTATTAGATTGTTCATTTGATGAATATTATGGATTATTAAATGATTGTTGAACTAAGAATATGAATTAATGAATAATGTTGTTAAGGATATCTAGAAGAACTCTAAAGATATACCCACTTGTATAATGATGATGATTATTAAGGATATCTAGAAGAACTCTAAGATATACCACCTTGACCAATTCATATTTCGGGGTTAAAACGTACGTACGGGATCCAGACCGGATATCACCCACCCGACAAATCATTGTTCGGTTGGTACGTAATCCACATGACTCATAGGGTGGATTATCGATTCTTGTGTTCTGCATTAAACTATTTATAGTTTAAGGGCCTGGTTAGAAATGTTGCCTTAGACTAGGAATAGCTAAGAGCTTGTTATAAAATGATTTGGCCTTAGATTAAGAATAATTTAAGAGCATGGTTGAGATATTGAATATCGAATGTTTGAATCATATATTGTGTGCATGATATCAAATGGTTGATTATGAATTGAGATTCAATTTATTTGGATGTTTGACGCTTTATATATGCTTACTCAGCTTCATCGCTGAGCGTGTAGTATGTTTTATTTGCTACACGCAGGTAGACAGAATGAGTGAATGGCATGTTCTTGGCAGCGGAAGGGGCGAGACAGTCATGGTGGATTTATTGAGAAAATAAATGATTATGTTATTATGAATCATGTTTAAAAATCGCTTCCGCATTAAACACTCCGTATTTACTACAATTATGTTTGGAATTTCATTTATGATGAATAAAGTTATTTGAAATGTTCTAAATTATACGATTACCAAGTTAATACTTAGTTCGGAAGGGGTTGTAAACCTGGACGGATTAGGGTGTTACACAACACAAGCTTCACAAAAATGGCTCTCAAAAGCTATGAAAAATTGAAGAATGATTTGAAATGAAAGAGTAGGAGTTGTGAAGTAATGTGATGTGTAAAACAGACCCAAACACCCCATTTTATAGTAGAAAAATAGGCTCCAACGGACCAAAGTATTTAAGGGGTGATTGGCATAATTTGTGGGATTTGATGAAATTTGGATCTGCTGAAAATCACCCAGACAGCGTTGTCCTAGGCTTGGACATCGCTGTTCTAGGCTTGCGGTTTGAAAAATGGGAAGCAACGATCATGCCAACAGCGATGTCTAAAATCCCTACATCGCTGTTTTTGCTGTTGACTTCCAAACAAGGAAAGTTTTAGCCTTAAATTCCTTCCAACAGTCAGGTCTCTACATCGATGTTGTATACTAGAACATCGCTGTTTAGGTCTGCCTTTGGAGATGGAAGTTTGGCCTGACAGCGCTGTTGCTGGGTCAACATCGCTGTCCAAAAACTTTCTGCCAATGCACTATATTTTTGGCATAGGTTGGACAGCGCTGTAGGGAAGCCTACATCGCTGTTCCAGAAGTTTCTGGAAATCCAACCTTGGCTCAACAGCGATGTCTAGTGTCCAACATCGCTGTTGGAAGACTTAACGCCAAACCATGTTTTTAGCTACCCAGGCCAGACAGCGCTGTTGATTTCCTCAACATCGCTGTTGGGCTGGTTTAGCTAGACCCATGATTATTTAGTCACGCCGTTAGCCGATGTCAAAAATGCAAGTTCTCCAAAATAAAAACCAAGTTTAGAAAACATTTGTTTATTGCATTTTGCTAAGAAATCAAGTAAAACATCTTGAAAACCACGTCATTTAGTTGAAAACCACGGCTAGCCAAGTTCGCGCCGTTTCGCATGGTTTTCACTAAACGACCAAAACGGAAGGCGGTTTTTGAGGCGTTTTTGTTCGAGAACTAATTAAATGTGCCCAGTAGTAAAAACCAGTCATAAAAAGTTGAAAACCACTTGGTTGGTTCGGACGCCAATAACCAATGCCGAAAACCGAAAGCCGAACGCCGGTTTCTGAAAACCAAACGCCGGATGGCTTGGTTTTTGGCTTGGGCGAACTCCAAGTGTTTTGAACCAAGTTTAAACTTAAGAAAAATATTTTTGAACATGTAAAAGAGATTTTTATGAATTAAGCCTAGAGAGCCAAGATTTGGAATTTTGTGCCGGTCTTGATCACATTAAGACCGACTCAATACAATTCTAGTTCTTCGTTCTTGATTCTGGGTTCTTGGTTCTCAAGTCATCATGCCATGTTCCTTCGCCTTAGTTTTGCTCACTTTAGCTTCGATATGTCGCGGCGGTTTGGCATTATCAAAACCTGTCATAAACGAACACA